GTGGAAAAGAATATGAAAAAGAATGCATGTGTAGGTATAACTGAATCACTTCGGTGTACAGCAGAAAGTAACACAGCACTGTAAGTCAACGCTAGCAATCAAGTTTTCCCTCTACCCTCTTTTCCCTTCCCCTCTAGCCTTTATTTCTCCTCCCTGTCAAAGTGAGCTTCTTGAGAGACTATGATTTCTAAGCTCTTGAGCAGGTCTCTGAAGCTCTAAGTGAGCTGTCTCACGGAGGCACCCCCTCTGCCCTTCGCCCCCTCACCCTTGCCCCCACCTGGTCAGGGTGCTCTGCTCCGCTCTCTCCCACCCCAGGGATCCTGCCCAGGCTGGTCCCACACAAGGGACCCTCTTTTCTCCTCTGGGTCACAATGGCTCCTTTGGCTGCCCTTCAACAGTTTTCGGACTGTTGTGGTTCTCTCCAGCCACCTTCAAATGAATAATCACTCTTTTAACCCTGACATTTAAAACCATCGCTGACTCAATGGACATGAGTCTGAACAAATTCGGGGAGACAGTGAAGGACAGGAGAGCCTGGCGTGCTGCAGTTCATGGGATCGCAAAGACTCAGACATGACTTAGTGACTGAACAGCCATAGCAACAAAGTTTAAAATGTAAATATTGTATCAAGCACACAGGCAGCTCCCTTGATGGAACGGAAGATACACGTAGGTCACAATGTGCTTTGCTGTGGGAGGAATTTATCTGCTAATGGCTCTACTGTGTGGGTCCTAGTCTTTCCAGATCTGATGAGAAGCTAAGAGAAAGCCTGATCAAAGGTTTGACCCTTTATTATCCCCCCATCCTTTCATCAGAGCAGGACCAGCTTTTTACCAGTCCATGCTTTCCCAAGGCTGTTACATCAAGAGAACTGGGATAGGAGGCTTATTTCTCATTAACTTATTTCCTCTAAAGACCCAGGCAGAGGAGACAGGGCATCTAAGTTTGACTGGCTCAACTACTTTATCGTATATAATAGTATAATAACCTAGGTTCAACCAAAATGGGACCTTTGGCAAGAACTTGGGTGGAGGTAGTCTTTCTGGGAGACCATCCAGGAAGCCAATATGAAAGAATGAGGAACATGAGATGGGAAAGGGAGAAAAGCCCATAAAAGTTGTGTTCATGGTTGGTTATTGCTGTGGGCTGAAAAACCCTGAAAGAACAAGCCTCAGGATTATCCAATGGAAGGGCAGGGAGGCTGGGGCATTTATCCGTCAACTCGGTGTTCCACTGACTCCGGGGTTACCTCTGGGGTCTGTGCATGCCCCTGCATTTTTTGGCCGCATTGCACCTGGGCTAATGCAATTCCACTGCTGCAGAGAAAACCCTGAAGCAGAAAAGCAAAGGCGCAAACTTCAGGGTGGCGGGCACAGTCCTGGAACTGCCCACCACTGCGCTGCAGAGATCAGCTGGGTCAAAGACCGTGGTAAGGGGGTCCTCTGTGTTAGCTGGAACTCTCCCTGCCGTGGTTCACTGAGGTGTCCCTGGGACAGGAAAGGAGACATGAAAGGCAACATGGGGGGACCTCCCTCTGAAATTTACAACCAGGATGAAGGAGAACCTGGGTCACTGTTCTCAGAAACTCCTTCATCCATGGAGAGAGGGAGCTCAGAAAGGTTTCCTTTTTTTCTATTTTATTATTATTATTGGCTGCACCACATGGCTGGTGGGATCTTAGATCCCCAACCAGGGATGGAACCTCTGCCCTCAGCGTTGGAAGTGCAGAGTCCTCATTACTGGACCATCAGGGAGTGCCAGAAAGAGATTTCTTTAGAAATAACTTTTCATTGTCATTCCGCATCTCATGGGCTTCTCAGACGGCTCAGTAGTAAAGAATCTGCCTGCCAGTGTAGGAGCTGCAGGAAACGTGGGTTTGATCCCTGGGTGGGAAAGATCCTCTGGAGGAGGAAATGGCAATTCACTCCAGTATTCTTGCTGGGATAATCCCATGGACAGAGGAACCTGGTGACTTACAGTCCGTGGCTTGCAAAGAGTCAGACACGACTGAATGAGTGAGCATGTACACACCCCACCTTACCCCCAAAGGACAGACGATGTTATGTCTGACCACCAGCCAGAGGAGGGGTCTTCAGGGAAAGGACACTGAGAACTTTGATGTGCATGCCTGCAGGTGAAGAATTAAATCAGCTGTGGAGTGAGATGGGACTCCCATGAGGCAGCCAGGAGGGTGTGCTGTGCTAAAGATCTCAGAATCTGTCAGGGCTAGGAATGTTTTGGTGGGCAACTGAGGACCACTGATGAGACACAGCCTACTGCTTGGTTGGCCCGAATGCCATACAATGGGGACAGCTGAAGGGGCAGCAGGTGGAGCTGAGATGTACAGCCATATGTCCAGGGGCTGAGGAAAGACTTTCAAAGGATGACTCAGAATAGAGATGCATCCTTCCTGGGTCAAAAATAGAGAGAAGGAACCAGCAGAAACGTGTAAAAACCCACAAAACTGCTCCTCAATGGAGTCCTTCTTAATCATCTGCCAGACCCACAGAGCACAAAGACACTCAGCCAGATGAGAACAATTCCACCACCTCCTCTCTCTGCCCACCCTCCTGGAGATGGGGAACATGAACTGGGGGGGGGGGGCAAGTTGAGGAGAGCAGAGGGAGGGGGAAGCTGAGCAGAGCAGGCTTCTCCCACTCTCCTGTGTAAGCTTTCAGCCTGAAACAGACATAAGCCAGGGCAAGGGGAGACTGCTCAATTCTATGTAAGTTTGGAATTTTGTATATTACATGGGAAAGAAGTTCTCATTTCTGAACTGAGAGCAGAAAACCAAAGCCGAGGTTCTCATTTGGGGAAGACCACCCCACTGAATAAGATTGAAAAGGGGTGAGAGATGGAAATGGAGCTGCATTTGGGTCACAATCCATGAGCCAGAATGAAAAATCAGACCTCCGGAGCACTTGAAAATCATATTTGGAGAAGGGCTTTCTCCACACTGAACTTGGAGAGCTTAGTGAGGGTGGGCTGGGGGTGGGAGGAAGTGATGGAAATTATTTCTGTCTGCTCAATAAGTATGATGTACCATTTATGGAGACAGGCTTAATCAGTCTGCCCATAGTCACCTTTTGTCTGATCAGCATGTTCACTGCAGTGGCCATGAAGGTGCCCCTGAATCTCCGTTGAAGAGAGAACTCGTCTTCAGCTTCGAGGGGTGCAGTTAGCTGGCAGCCTCCAGCTGCAGCCCCTGTGGGACCCACGAGAGACCCATGTGCTTCCTGGGCAGCCCCAGCCAATGGCTGTGCACAGTGAGGGTGCGGGAGCCCCACTCCAGGGCTCTCTGCTCAGCATCATGGTCCCAGGCCCTCCTTGCTCATTTCTGCTTCCTTCCACTTTTGTCTTTTATGTTTCCCTCACCCTCCCTCGCCCACACAAATTAAACCTCTTTCACTCCTAACTCCATCATCTGCTTCTCAGAGAACCTAACTCATACGCTCATCTTTCCAACTGAATTTTTTTCTTCTTTGCTTTAATACTATTTTTAAATGAGATTATGTTAAAAAAGTTTTCATACTCAGACTGAGACCTGATCTACCTTTTCAAAAAACCCCACCTCCCAAGATTTGATCATTATATAAATTGAACTTTAAGAACTGTCTACTTCATTCTTGTCTTCCCTTAGCAGATCTTACTCATCCTTGAGGTCTTAGCTTAAATATCATTTCTCCTCGAAAGCTTTTCCCCAACCCTCCTGACTTCAGCTTTGGTAAATCGCTTTGTCACAGGTTCCCCCAGTTACCCTTTGGTAAGACTCATCAAACTTGCGGTTACTTGGCTGTGGTCAGTTGTTGGCAGTTTATGGATAGCAGTATCCATAAAGACATGATCTAAAATTCTTGGTCGCTGCTAATCACCCAGCACTTAGGACTGTGCCTGGCCCATAGAAGCTACTCAATAAACACCTAACTGAGTGTCAAATCTGATAATCTAAGGTATGGGGTGTTGGCACATATCTGCCTCTATTGTGCCCTTCATCTTGAGGGCGTCACTCTTGCTCCTGATTACAGCAAGACTCATAGAATTGAGTATTAGAAGAAACTTAAAGATTATCCCATCTGAGCACCCATGGATGTCAGACATGTTGTAGAACATCCGACAATCCAAGATTGTCCAATCTCAGTTTGAATACGAGGGACAGAAATTACCTTCAAAGGCTATCCGTTGTGTCCTGGATAGCCGTGATCATCAGATTTCCTAGGGCTTTAGTTCATTTCATATTCTCACAGAATGATTTAATATTTTTTGATAGTATTGACAACGGAGATGGGCTTTCTGGTCTAAACTGAGTGTTAGTCACTCAGTCGTGTTTGACCCTTTGCGACCCCATGGAACTGGGGGTTGGGGCAAGGAGTCAAAATTTCTCTTCCTATGAATAGTCTCTCAAACGGGAACCTAGCTAACTTGAAATAGAAAGACTTCATTCGTTCCTACATGCCCAAAGTATGAGTTGGGTGCTAAATGTGTCTAGCATGGGAATCAGCATCAATAGGACATAGAGAGATGTTCCAAAATATGGAGTCTGCCTGGGGAGAAAAAGATGTTTATAAGATCAAATGATCACAGCAATGCAGGAACTGCCGAGGGAGATCTCAGAGTATCCTGAGAGCCAGATGACAGGGTTGGATAGAAAGCGCTTGAAGAGCTTGGGGAAGGTGGTATGTCTGGGAAGCCTAGGAATACAGGGGGCAGGGATCTAGGAAGGGTTCATTTAGAGAGTGGGATTTCAACTGAGTACTATGGACAGGAGACATGAGACAGTGGGTAAACCGTCTTGCAAATCAGGCTCAAGAGAGGTGTCTTCCCAGAATGGACAGGGAGGGGCTTAGTGAGATGGAGGAAGTAAGAGGGCCGCGAGCTGGGTGAGAATCATTTCCTTCTCCCCAGGACTGGCACCCTGGCTCCAGCAGCATCCTGTCGGCCTGTCTTCCTTACCGCCGTCAGGGCTGCCCAGGTCACACCCCCCAGGACCCAGGCTGCTGGCATGGGAGCATTGCCGTGGCTGCTCCTCCTCTTGCTGTCCCAGGAAGGTGAGACGGACTGGCAGCCCCAGGACAGGAGGATCTCATTTCCTCTCTGGGCGCCTGCTCTGCTGGGCCTTGGGCTAGCAAGTCACTGCCTTCGGGCCCGAGTCCTTCAGCTCTTCTGGAGTAAAGAGGACTAGGGTGTGACTTCAGTGCAGGAAGAAAGAGATGAGGAAACCTGTGGATATGGAAGGGGAGCAACCCCAAGGACAGCAAATGGAGAAGAGAAAATTTGGAGGGTGAGGCGCAGACAGAAACTCTGGTAGGTGCTCAGAGGCAGGTGCAGCGAAGAGGCAGCTGGAGGATGAGACAGAGTGTGGGCCACAGAAACTACTCAGCTGAGATTGAGACCACAGCCCCACTGCCAGTCTCAGTAGCCCAGAGACACCACCTGGGTTGTTTCCATCTTTTTGAAGTTTTATTTATTTATTTACTTACTTGGCTGTATGGGGTCTTAGCTGCAGGACACGGGATCTTCTCTGCAAGTCATGCAGATCTTTTGCTGAGGTGCACAAATTATCTCTAGTGGTGGCATATGGGCTCAGTAGTTGTGGTACTCAGGCTTAGTTGTTCCCCAGCATGTGAGATCTCAGTTCCCAGACCAGGGATCAAACCTGCATCCTCTGCATTGCAAGGCAGATCCTTAACTGCTGGACCACCAGGGAAGTTCTAATCTTTTCTTTCCTTATCTGTAGCTGAAGGGTACTCTGGAGATGGTGTGGATCCTGAGGAAGTGGTTGGGATCCTTCATGAGTCCATCAGCCTCCCCCTGGAAATGCCATTTAATGAGGAGGTTGAGAACATCATCTGGTCCTCCCACATAAGTCTTGCCATTGTGGTGCCAGAGAAAGAGGGACGTCCGGCTACCATCACGGTGACTGACTCTCGCTATGAGGGCCGAGTAAACTTCCTGGAGCCCACCTACTCCCTCCACATCCAAAATCTGAGCTGGGAGGACTCAGGATCTTACCAAGCTCAAGTCAACCTGAGGACGTCCCAGGTCTCCACCATGCAGCAGTACAATCTACGCATCTATCGTGAGTTTACTGGGAACCATAGCGCTGCTTTTTCTGACTCTCCTGAGATTCCTACACAAAGGACCAAGGGTCTTAGGACTGGGGGTTATGGCTTGAGGGCCTGGGACTGGAAAGCAGTCTGTCTCCAGCGTGTCTGACCTCAGTACTCAGCTGCAAGTAAAGTGACCTGGAGTAGCAAGGCCCTGGGCTCTGAGTAGTGTCTGTGGATGTGTTGTGAAAGGGGTCAGGGGCTTTCCCTGCAGACATCTTAGGAAGCCTTTCTGTTCCTATGAGATTTTGCATCCTGGGCATGAATGCCACCTCCATATATTTTTTTTTTAGGCTGCACTGGGTCTTCATGGCGGTGAGCCGGGGCTTCTCTTGTCACAGAACAGGGGCCCTAGAAGGCGGGCTCAGTAGTGCCCTGGTGCCCTGGCTTAGCTGCCACGCATCATCCGGGATCTTAGTTCCCCAATCAGCGATCAAACTCAAGTCCCCGGCATTGGAAGGTGGATTCTTAACCACTGGACAACCAGGGAAGTCCTGCCGCCTCCATTCCTGAGCCTTTTATCCTCCTCTTTGATTTGAGGGCTAGTAATCAGGGTCTCCTCTCTACTTGAACCCAAATTTCCTCTTAATGCTTATGACATTGACTGATATTCTACCTTGAATCGTGCATACACTGATTAAACTATAAGTGCCCTCAGGAGGGTGATAATATTTTCTAGGATCAAAGAGGCAGGACAGAGTTTGAAGGAAGGTGGGGTGCAAAGGTAAGAGAGAGAAGGTAAGGCTTTGGGGGAGGTAGAAGATGCCAACAGCAGTTCCTTCATCTTGGCAGTTGCCTTGGGAACCACAGGTTGGATGGTGGCTGGGTCTTGTTAGTTTGGCTCCTTCCTCGTTTAGGTGAAACAGGTCTCAATGGGCAGTATCAGTACCCCAGTGTCGAAGAATTTAGGAAAACAGACCTGGCCCCTGATTACTTAGAGGGTCTTTGTGTTTCTCCCTCATCTAGGACGTCTGTCACAGCCTCACATGACAGTGAACTTTGAGATCCCTGGGGAAGAAGGCACCTGTAATATGTCCCTGATATGCTCTGTGGAGAATGCGGGCTTGGACGTGACCTACACCTGGATATCCTGGGAAGACAGCGCTGATACAGCCCATGAAGGCTCCATCCTCAGAATGTTCTGGAGGCCTGGGGACAAGGTTGCCTCTTACACCTGCAGGGCCAGCAACCCTGTCAGCAACATCACTTCCCGTCCCATCCAAGCTGGGTCCTTCTGTGCAGGTACCGGAGTCCCAGAGACAGGCCCTGAGCCGCTGCAGGGTCCCAGGGTCACCACACCCTTAGAGCCTAACCCCTCCCGTAGAGACTTCACCCCTGGATTGGGGAGGGGCCTCCCTTTTCCTCGTGCTCCCAGCTTCCAAAGGTCCCTTCTAGTCCCTTCTAGGTTGAGATTACTCCCCAGATCACAACCTCTGAGATTCTGTGAATAGAATATACATTTCCTGAGATACTTGCCAAGGGACATCAACTGACAGTGAATCTGAGACGACCTCTGGGGAATTTGGGGTGGGTGTCTTCCCCTAAATCCAGACCTTCCCTCTGGTGAGCCTCTCTCTCTTTGCCTTCCCTGCCCCAGATCCTGGCGACACTTTGGAGAAGGCCTCCACTTCCTTCTGTCTTCTGGCCAAGGGACTGCTCATCCCCTTGCTTTTTGGAACACTGGCCGTGGGCTTCTGGTTCATCCGAGTCCATACAAGAGGCAAAGTGCCGAGAATGAAGAAACTCAAGAGAAACAGAATGAGATTGAGAAAGAAGGGGCAGCCTGGCCCCAGCCTGAACTGAGGGCCCCTGGGGGACCCCTGTCCTGAGCATTGCTTCTTCTCAGCCCCAGGGAAACCTTCCTCTCCTCCCCAGGTGCATCTCTTCCCAGGGGATCAAGGGGTGGGCATCTCAAGGGCGTGCTCTATGCCGCATGCTTCCCACAACTGCCTTTGGAAAAGAAAGTGAGTCTAAAAGACCTCCTCACAATGTGGTGTTGGTATGTTATTATTCACGCCTAACCCATTCCCCACCAATACACATAACATTTACACTTCAGTAAGAACAGGGAGAGAGTCCTTCTAATCTAAATGAAGCTGTGACTCCTGAATGGGAGATTTCAGGCACCAAGAACTCTGCCTGAGAGTGGTATTATTCCGCTCTCAGAAGAAGCCAATTCTGCTTTTATACCCTCCTTCCACCCTGGCCGATGAGGTCACTAAGTGACTCACCCTGCCGACATTAATCTGGTGGCTGTCCTGCATGGGGAGCTATGAAGCACCCAGTGCAGTCCTATTCTGGGTCTCAGTTGAGCCTGGTGACCTTTCCATTATCTCCCTGATGCCAATTGCTCTGGGCCTCCGGTGCCTGCCCCCATAGAGATGGAAACTCAGTTGGATTAATAGCGTAGGTCTGGATACTTCCCTGGTGATCCACCGGCTAAGACTCCATGCTCCCAGTGAAGGGGGCCCAGGGTTGATCCCTGGTCAGGGAACTTAGATCCCACATGCTGCAACTAAGGGTTTGCAAGCCTCAATTAAAGATCTGGCATCCTTCAATGAAGATCAAAGATCTCATGTGCGGCAGCTAAGATCTGGTACAACCAGATAATTCAATAAAATAAAAATAAATATTTTTAAAAAACAGCAGAGGTCAAGACTCCTGACCTCTGTTTGTAATTGGTATTAGTGTCCTGTCTATTCCTTATCCATAGATTTCCATGTGTCATACCTTCTCTCTGGACTGTTGTCCTGGGTTAATGCCTGCCCCCTACACATATATTACCCTCCCCGCCCCCTGCTCTCCTGGCAAAGACCTTTAATTTTAGGTTATTGCTCTTTCCCAAGCCCAGTGATCAGTATGAATTCCTCACCCTATGCTTAAGTCTTGGTCATCCTCCCGAGATCAGATCTTGTGAATGCTACTTAATGTAGCTGCCATGGCAGGGTGCGGAGTGGGGGGTGAAATGGAGAGGGAACTGAAAGCCGCTCATGCCACAGGACATGTTGAGGGAGTGAGTGACCTGGAGGAGGGTGGTGTGGGATACTGCAGTGTCACGGTCTTCGTAGACTGGGACCTGGGGATTGGAGTTGACGAGAAGAAGGATGCAGGGGACCCAAGTCTCGAGTGAAACGAGGGTCCTTTATTTGCAGAAATGCATGCTTATATATCTTCAATAAAATGATTACTCAGCCATTAAAAAGAATGAAATTCCACCAGTTACAGGAAAACGGATAGTCCTAAAACGTCACTAAAGGGAGTCACTGAAGGGAATCCAAGCAGGTGCTCTTTCTCCTGATCTCAGTCCTGAGAACTGCATGCAGCTCGGCTCGTTCCTGTTTTCCAGGAACTGATAAGGAACAGAGAGCCCCTGAGAAACGGCACACAAAGGAAGAAAAAACATATTGGATCCCTTAAAGTTGACCGTCCCCTGACACTGTAGGGAGAGCCCTGGGTGGGATCCCAGGCGGTCTGGGCTGTGCTCTGCCACTGGCCTCTGGCTTGGGACACGTCGTCCAGCAGATGTCCACGGAGGCACCGTCCCTTTCGACTAGAAACACGCCGTTTGAAGAGAGCAGTCATAGGTACAGCTGAGTGGCGCTCCAAGGCTAAGGGAACGCCTTGCCTCCGACAGGGGCGGGATGGGCTAGGAACCCCAGGGAATTTTAGAGGAGGGACTGAGGGGTAAAACAGGGCTGTGGGGCAGAAGCCATGCCAGACACCTCTCTGCATTTCACTTTCCCCTCTTAGTGAGGAGAAGGATACTGACCTCCAAAGTGTGTCCCGAGAAAAAGGATGCTGATACTGTGGAGGGGCAGAGGGACTCAGGGGGACCATAGGGACCAAGGATGGCTTTAGGGAAAACAGGACACAGGGGACTTCCCGGGTGGGCCGGTGGCTAAGACTCCATGCTCCCAAAGCAGGGGGCCTGGGTTCCATCCCTGGTTGGGGAAGGAGATCCTACATGCCTCAACAGTGCACATGGACCAGGCACTGGGGCACCCCAAGAGGAAGCCTCCAGCAAGGGGCATAGAGGAAACCAAGAGCCAGGGCTTCCAGGGGTGGAAAGGAAGCAGAGCCAGGAGGTAAGCGGGAGCTTCCTGTCTCCATTACTGGGCAGGAGATGGAGCCCTGTAGGGCTTGGGGAGGAGGTGGTGAGGTTGGGAAAAGAAAAAGAAAAAAGGAGAATTTAGTTTCTAAGTCCACGCCCCCAAAGAGTTCCTAAGACTATCAACGGACCCACTCTATTCCCTGAGGGCCTGAGTCCACGTCCTGCTGGAAGGCAGTCCCTGGCCTGAGGCGGGTTCTCTGTGCCTTGATTGGGCTGAGCGGTTCCACCTCCAAAAAGCCATGAAGATCTCGGACCAAACCTGCAGCCCCCAACTCCTCTGATTTCTTTAATACCTTTCTGGAAACTGAGTGGAAAAGGCCAATGGCCATCTTGCATACGCGGGGGCAGGTCTTTTGTGGCTTTCAGAGTCTGGCACAGGAGATCAATAAGGGAATGAATGGTCCCTGTACAGTCAGCTGATGGCCTTCCCTAAAATACAGGGGAGCACCTCTCACACCCAGTTCCAACGGAGAAAGCCTGAGGTCCCCAACCAGCCCAGAGCACCTGGATGTAGAACGTTCAGACTTTCAAGAAGGTGGAGTACAAGCTCAGAAAGACTCGGGCCTCTTCCTCTACAGAAAACCAGGATAATAGTCACCTGGTAACACTTTGCTTTTTGCAAAGTTTGCTCTGTTGAAGCAGGTGAAAAGCAAACTGAGGATAATATTTAAGCACCAAAGTATGAGGCACTGGGCCTGCACTGGAGAGGTCGAAAAGATACTCTCTGCCCTTGGAACTCTTCCTGGGGTGTGTTAGATGTAATTACAGTGAGGTGTGACAAGGACTATGGCTGAAGGTGAGGGCGTGGTGGGATTTGTCAGCAATGGTGTCCTGGAGGGAAGGGGAATAGAATATTGACCTGTGACTACTAGTGAGTTCCCAGGGCAGGGAGAAAAAGGACTTTGTAGCCAGACAGAAGATAAGAAGAAAGCCATTGATAAGTGAACAAGCACCATGAATTCAAGGGACTACCAGGCCACACGCTGCCGCCCTCTGATGAATGGGTAGTCTGGAGAGGCAGGCAGGTCTCCTCTGATAGGTAAGGGCTGAGGTGGGGGGGCGGGGATTTAGGGATGAAACAAGACCAGCTCCACAACCTCATGGAGCTCCTGTCTCACTGGGTTAGAAAACAGGCACGCCAAAGCAAGGAAACAATCAATGAATGGAAACTCTTTTCTGATCGGGTGACAGGACCAGTGTTCATAGCATACCGTCAGCAAAGTCGCTGGAATTGACAACATCGTCTAGTCTTCCTGTCAACAAGTTGAAAATATGTGGGCTGATTTAAGATTTGGTAGAGTGATGCTAGGTAGAATCCTAGCAGATTGAACAAATTTTCCCAGAGAGTAATAATTATGGATAGGACTTTTTTTTTTTTAACCAACTTTCACCTCCGGCATGGTGAGGGAACAAGGTAGGGTCAGGTTCCTTTTCTTACCAGAAAGCTGACAAGATGCATCTGAATCAGAGCAAAATGGCGATAATAATAAAATATAAAACACAAAATTAGCATTCCCCCCCCCCCCAAAAGAGAAAAGACTATCTTAAACTTAAAAAATTGAAAACATTTCAAATCCCAATTTTACAAAAAGTTATTTTAATGTCCAAACAAAATTAACTTATCCTCAAGAAAATACTGGAGACAGTGGAATTGAAACCTTTGAACCAGAGATGGAGCCCATTCTAACACAGGGGAAGGAGATCTTTTGTATTAGTTGGTGAGGGCCCAAGATATAACAAACATCACAGTCTTCCACCCTCTTTCCTAGGCATTCTACTGGCCTTGCTTTCCTGTTGCATTCACTAACATGTTTTCATTAGAGTCTCAGCACTGTTAGGTCAGTCTGCTACATTGTAACATTTGAAGCTGCCCCTTTGACTTTGCTGGAGGGATAGTGAGAGAAATCATTCCATTGCTCTTGCCTGCTCCCCTCCTTCACTCCCTTCTCACATTTTCATCTCAGGTGGCAAAAAGCACCTAGATTTTTACACCTGTAGCACTTTCCAGCAGTCAAGTCCCTGAAGATGGAATGAATTACTACAAGGGGTGGTAAGCTTCTTGGCCCAGAATGTAGTCAGAAAGGGAGGATGTGGAAGGGATACTGGTGTGAGCTGTGGTCAGACCCATCCTATTGGGTCTTCTTGGTGCCGAGGATATGACTGGGAATCAAATGCCTGGTGCACTCTATGAGAGGCAGGAGTTCAGACTGGGGTGAGATTAGCATGCTGCTTTTAGGGAAGGCTTCCAGGGGAAGCACCAGGACAGGCTTTTGTTGTTTAGTTGCTCAGTCGTGTCCGACTCTTTGCAACCCCATGGACTGCGGCACACCAGGCTTCTCTGTCTTTCACCATCTCTCAGAGTTTGCTCAAACTCACGTCCATTGGGACAGTGACTCCATCCAACCATCTCGTCCTCCGTTACCCCCCTCTCCTCCTGCCTTCAATCTTTCCCAGCATCAGGGTCTTTTCCAGTGAATCAGCTCTTCATATCAGCTTCCGCATCAGTCCTTCCAGTGAATAGTCAGGACTGATTTCCTTTACGATTGACTGGTTTGATCTCTTTGCAGTCCAAGGGACTCTCAAGAGTCTTCTCCAATACAGCAGTTAGAAAGCGTCAATTCTTTGGCGCTCAACCTTCTTTACGGTCCAACTCTTACATCCGTAGATGACTACTGGTAAAACCATAATTCGG